AGCACACAGCTAGTAAATGACAGAGCTCAGATTTAAATTCCTCGTTTATCAGTACTGATATAAAAGCTAAATTTTCAAACTCTTTCCTTTGGCATAAGCTTAATAAGAAAGATAACCCGGTGCTAATAGTCTAGATGTGACATTAGATTAAACCAAACCAAACTAGACTTATCTAGCTATGTCCCTTATGTTAGAAAATAATTCCACCTGTTGAACGTCCTAAACACTAAACCAACCACAAAAGACTGAAAACTAGAATCAATGTGAAGTCATGAAGACTAACACTCTACAGATGCAGCATGCTTTCAAATAACATTTTAAATAACTGTTCTTTTTCTAAAGGAATAAAGCAGCAGTTTATCCTCACAATATTCTAGTGAAATAAACAGGGAGTAAGTTGTTTTCTGTTCAGAGAAAGGAAAGGTCCATTGAAGTATAGAAATACAGGACTGTGTACAGTCCAGAAACTTGAGCCTACAAACCCAGACCTGAAGGTAGGTCTCTGTCTACCCAGTGAGGATGCTCTGCCCTCCAGCACTGGCTACATTTTCTTCTCCAAAGAAAATGAGGTCTGCTGACTTTCAGGGGATTACAAGGCTCCCCACCACTTGAGTTTGGCTCTCTGGCAGAGAGCATTAATGCTCGCTCTCTAGGTTTGGGGTTCAGTTTAGTTTGAGCGTAATAACTTTCACTTCACTGCACTGACCTTTAGCTAAGAGCTAAATAAGGAAATGTAGAAAAGAAAGCACCATTTCCATCATGTAGCAGAAAATAAACACACGAAATTATTACTGAAAAGGAGGTGTAAGCAAGACACCAGTGAGGAAAAAGGGAAACAATCTCCCATTTACTAGCGCTGACAATGTGCCCATCGCTATTCGAGCACTCAAAAAGCATTAACTTGTTTATTTTTATAATGACTCTTATTACGCCCCTTTTATGGATGAGAAAACTGAGACACAAAAAGGTTAATAACTTGCCCAGGATGACACAGCTGTCACAGTAATTCAACTTAAATCCAGATAGAGAATCCATGCTCCCGAGTAAACTATTTAAAAACTGGAGTATCATTCAAAACGTCATAAACGAGTGCCACTAATGCTTGCCTAAGAAAAGTCGGGCCACAGCTCACCATGCCCAATCCATGTCCTCTCCACTGGGCCCCCTGATGGCAAGAGAATAACGGACAAGACAGGAGATGGGCTGCTGAGGAGGGAACACCCCTATTTCTATAAAAAAAATAATAATAATAACATTAATAACATGTTTACCAAGACCAAGCTGAAAAAAAAACACAAGGGTGAATTTTAGGAAGAGAGGCAGCTGTGTTCAATTTTACATAAAGAGAATGACCATCATTGATTTTTAGAACATCTACACTAAAAGTTGCAAATATTTGCAGAATACAGAAATCTCACCTCAATAAACTTTAAACCATCATTGACGGGATGCCTGAGTGGCTCAGGGGTTGAGCATCTGCCTTTGGCTCAGGACGTGATCCTGGGATGTGGGATCAAGTCCCACATCAGGCTTCCTGCGAGGAGCCTGCTTCTCCCTCTGCCTGTGTCTCTGCGTCTCTCTCTCCGTGTCTCCCATGAATATATAAATAAAATCTTTAAAAATAAATAAACCATCATTGGAGTAGTAAGCTCTTCGAGGAAGAGAAGCATTCCCCCCCCTTCCAACCCTATTTTTTTTCTGTTTCTTCCATTAGATCTTTGCATTTACCATGATGATGATGATTTCATACTTACTAAGTTCCTACTTTGTGCCCAAAAGTCTGATACAAGTTTCACATTTAAAACATAAACAATCATTTGAGACTCTCAACAGCTCTACAGAGTGTCACTGTTTTTCCCATTTTTGAAATGAAGAAACGGAGACCCAGACAGGTGGAGTAACTTGCCCAAGGTCACACAGCCAGGATAGAAATTCATTTTTGTTTGCTCTAAAAGCCTATAACATTAATCACGTATGGCCAGCAAAAACATGTGGCCACTGACTGTCCGCTCCTCACACAGACACAAAGACCACAGGGAGTGCTGCGCATTTTGCCTAGCTCCACCAGCCCAAGTCCTGGACAGAGGTGACTGGACACGGTCAGCCGCCTCCAGAGAGCCACACTGGTCAAGATGGACCAGAAACCTAAGTGCGCTGTAGCCACACTCTTTAGACTAGAAACAGGTACACTCGCTAAGAAGTAAACAAAATATTTAGGAAGATGATCTAACCGGGAAAACATCCCAAAGGCAGGCCTGTATGTTTAGTTTTCAGAACATGTGTTAGTACAAAGTTCATCACAGTTCTGAAGGAAAGAATAGAGTGCTTCAAGACTGAGCAACAAGATACTGGAGGAGAGAAGCAAAAGCTCCTATTTTTAGTCTAAAATGTACTTGGATTCGGATATACCACCTATAACTGTGTATGATTACATTTTGATAGACAGGAAATGATGGGGGGAAGTCGGATTAAAAAAAACATCAAAGAAGGGTTTAAATTATTTATGGAGGTAACAGGAAAAATACTTTAATGATGCGTACATCATTATTAAGTAACATTTTTTTTTAAAATTTTTTTTTTATTTATTTATGATAGTCACAGAGAGAGAGAGAGAGGCAGGGACACAGGCAGAGGGAGAAGCAGGCTCCATGCACTGGGAGCCCGATGTGGGATTCGATCCCGGGTCTCCAGGATCGCGCCCTGGGCCAAAGGCAGGCGCCAAACCACTGCACCACCCAGGGATCCCTTAAGTAACATTTTTTAAAAGAAATTTCAGTTGGGGGCACCTGGGTGGCTCAGTTAAGCATCGGATTAGATTTAGGCTCAGGTCCTGATCTTGAGGTGGTGGGATGGAGCCCCATGAGGGCAGGTTCTGCACTCAGTGGGGAATCTGCTCCTCTCTCTCTGCCCCTTCCCACACACACGCTCTCTGTGTCCCCCTCTCTCTAAAATAAATGGATAAATCATGAAGAAGAAGGAGGAGGAGGAGGAGGAGGAGGAAATTTCAATTGGTGACTAAGCACAGTAAGTCTTTCAATAGATAAAAGTATGTTCTATTACAACCAATTATTACCAGGGTTGATAAAAAAAATATGAGAAAAAATAAAAATCCTTCTTTCTTAGCACTCCTCTCCCATCCCCTCAAACATACTTGGACCATCCTGAACCACTTGTGCTTCTCAGGATGTTCCATGCCCTCCCCAGTGTTGGTGATGCTCGTAGTGCAATCTCAACCGGGAAGTTGTTGACTCCTCTCCTTTTCTGATTAAACTACTTCAGCATTCCTCCTCCAGGAAGCTTCCCTGGATCCCCAACTCTGTGCTAACTTCTTTCTCTCTCTCTCTCTCTCTTTTTAAAGATTTTATTTATTTATTCATAAGAGATACAGAGAGAGGGGCAGAGACAGAGGCAGAGCTCCCTGCAGGGAGCCGGAGGTGGGGCTCACCCCAGGACCCCGGCATCACAACCTGAGCCAGAGGCAGACCCTCAACCACTGAGCCCCCCAGGCGCCCCTATGCTAACTTCTATCACAGGCTTCATCCCACTGTGTACTTGTTGGTCTCCTCAAGAAAGTAAGAATTCTTTGATCTCGGGGACCATGCTCACTGTTGTTTTAAGTCCCAACACTTAGCGAAGGCGCCCAATGAAATTTTACTAAGCGAATGAAAACATATTGCAGAATTAAGACTCTCTTAGAAATAAAAGGAAAATCTATCTAAAATGCAAATATTTTCACTATTTTATTCTGGCCCTCATAGTTCACAGGGTGTGGTTTAAAAATACACGCAGCAGGATTTACTGGATATTGCCAACTGCCCTTCATAAAAAATGTCCTATACCTCCAAACCACATAAATATATGGGTACTTCAAATCGATCAGTGTTCAATGGATGTATCCATTCAGGTAGTATGATTGAATAACACAAAGTTTCGGTCAAAATTTAAGAAGCGCAGTGGCAATCGCATTTCGAACAACCAGGGGCTGCCTGGTGCTGCCCTGGTCTGAGGCCCATTCCCGTCGGGGACAAGCCATTCACCTTTAGGTTTCAGGTTCTCCACCTGTAAGACGGGGGTAAGCCTGCCTGCCACTCGCTGCTTCCTTCGGATCCCGTGAGGTCAGCGGAGGCCTGGGGAAGCGGAGGTCTTCACAGTAAAGGCACCGCTATCAAAACCATTGTAGGGGGGCTCCCCGGGGGGCTCAGCGGCTGAGCGCCTGCCTTCCGCCCAGGGCGTGTCCTGGAGGCCCGGGATCGAGTCCCGGGATCTGGTCCCGGGATCGAGTCCCAGGATCGAGTCCCGAATCGAATCCTGGGATCGGTCCCGGATCGAGTCCTGGGATCAAGTCCCAGGTCGAATCCTGGGATGGAGTCCCGGATGGGTCCCGGGTTGAGTCCTGGGATCGAGTCTCGGATCGTGTCCCAGATCGAATCCGGGGATCGGATCCTGGGATCGGGTCCCGTATCGAATATTGGGATCGAGTCTCGAATCAGTCCCGGATAGAGTCCTGGGATCGAGTCCCGGATCGGGTCCCGGATCGAGTCCCCCATCGGGCTCCCCGCACGGAGCCTGCTTCTGCCTCTGCCTGTGTCTCTGTCTCTCTCTGTCTCTCTCTGTCTCTGTCTCTCTCTGTGTGTGTCTCTCATGAATAAAAGAATAAATAAAATCTTTAAAAAGTATGACTCCAAGGTAGGCGGCGTCCCTGCCATTCGTTCTGGCAAGAATCCTCCGCTAGGCCTCCCGCTCCCCTCGCGGGTGAAGGGTGTGGACGGGGTCGGAGCTCGAGCCACACAGGTGGGCGCACGTTCCTCTGGTGCGGGCCCGGCCCGAAGCCGCCGAAGCCGCCGAAGCCGCCGAAGCCCCGGGGGACCTGAGGCCGCGCTGCGCCCCCTCTGGGCGCCGGGAGAGACGGGCCCTCGCCGCCGGCCGTGCGGGGCGCCGGGGTCAGCGCGGCTGGGGGGGGGGGGCTAGGGGGGGGCGGGCGGGCGGAGGCCGCGGCTTACCTGGGCGCGCAGGGGGGCGCGGGCGGCGGGTGCGGGACGAACACCCCGCAGGCGGGCGGCGGAGGCCGCTGCTTCCTCCTGGAGCGCCAGATGCGGAAGGCGGTGGGCTTCTTGGGGGCCCTGGACGGCGCGGGCTCCGCGCGGTCGCCCCGAGCCGGCGGCAGCGGCATCTCCCCGCGCGCCTCCTCCTGCTCCTGCTCCTGCTCCTGCTCCTGCTCCTGCTCCTGCTCCTGCTCCGCCGCCGCCCGGCCGCCGCGGAGGAACATCCCCGGCGCCCGCTCGCCCGCCCCCCCGGGCGCCGTCGGTCCCCGCCCCCTGCCGCCGGGCCGGCCGCCTCCGGACGCGGACGCGGCGCGCGAGCAGCACGGCCCCGGGTCCGCACGCGGCCAGGTTGGCCCCCGGGCGAGCCAGGTGAGGCGCGCGCCCCGCGCCCCAGGTGCCGCCGCCACGCCCCCGGGGCCCGGCCCGGCCCGCAGGCGGCCGCGGGGGCAGCGACCCCTGCCGGGCGCCCTGGGCACTGCGTCTCGGAGCGCGCGCCGCCGCCTGCGGGCCGGGAGCCGGGGCTGGGCGGTGGCGGCGGCGCCTGGGGCGCGGGCGCAGGGGCGTCGGGGGCCTGCGGGGCGCGGGCGGCTTGTGGGCCCGGGTCGGGCGGGCACGGTGAGGGGCTAACGTGAGCCCCGCCAGGAGGGCGGCAGAGGCGCACCCCGTGGCGGGGCCGCCTGGCCTTCGGGTGGCCTGGGCAATGTCCCACGCTGGGAGGCCCCCTTCCTTCTTGCAAAACTCCTCTCCTCCAGGGTCTAAATGATTCCTTTGTATCTGCGGCTCCTAACGTGCAAAAAGATAAAAAACCAGAAGGGATTAGGCATTCCCCCCCCCCCCCCCCAGTTCCCAAAGGGCTTTTAATAGGTCCCTCGCGGTGAATTAAATGCCAGGCCCGAGGTTCTCATTATCTGCTTTACTGTTAATGACTTTCTTTCCTTAACCTCACAATTGTGATTAAATAGCAAAAGCAACTACTATTTAAGCAAAGGAAGTAGATGAGTAATTATTTGGGGGCATTACTGGAGTAGAAAGAGCTCAAGAGCCAAGAATTAAGTGCATTCCAACTCCCTCTTATACTGCAATACATTTTCTCTTTAATGACCCAATTCATGTATTCATTCACTCATTCATTTAAGGGACTTTTATTTTTATTTAATTTTTCAGACTTACAGTGTTATGCAGTCTAGCCTCCACACAGTAAGTCAAATGCACAGGTCATAAGTATATAACTCAAATGTTTACATATTTAAACATTTATGTGGTTGCGGGTATAAAATGGTTTTAATGAAAGGCAGTTGACATTGTCCCAGAAAATCCTTCTGCATGTGGCTTTTAAATATTCCATCCATTATAAAAATACAGAGTATTTCCCAAACTTCAGAAATCTCTCTTCTATCCTCTTCTAGTGCCTTACCTCCCATTCTATAAGAGATAACCATCATTCTGAGCTTTATCACCAGAGATTAAATTGGCTTCTTCTGGAAGTTCATATAAGTGGAATCACCATATGTGCTTTTCTTGGGTCCACTTTCTTTTACTCAGTATTAGTCTACAAGAATCGTCTATCTTCTGACAATGTAGCAGTTTTTCATTTTGAGTAAAAAATGCCGTACGCTATGCTGTGATATGAATATACCACAATTACTTTAGCCAATCTCTGGTTGGACATTTAGGTAGTTTCCAGTTTGGGATTATTATAAATAAAGAATAAAGCTGATATGAACCTTGTTAGGCATACACATTTATTTCTTTTGGGTATATACTCAAGACTTCAGTCTCTGGGTAATAGCATTTGCCTATGTTCAGCCTCAGTGAATTTTGCCAAGTAATCTCCCAAAATGGTTGTGTCAGTTTATACTCCTTTCAGCAATGTTTGGAGTCTCCAATTTTTCTACATCTTCACCAACACTCGATATATTTTTTAAAGATTTTATTTATATATTCATGAGACACACACAGAGAGAGAGGCAGAGACACAGGCAGAGGGAGAAGCAGGCTCCATGCAGGGAGCCCGACGTAGGACTCGATCCCGGGTCTCCAGGATCACATCCTGGGCTGAAGGCGGTGTTGAACCCCTGAGCCACCCGAGCTGCCCATCTACACTTGATATTATCAATCCTTTTTATTTTGGCCATTCTGATGAGGATGTAGTGGTATCTCGTTGCAATTTTATTTCTTATTGCAATTTTAATTTATATTTTCCTCAAGAAACATTTGTTGAATTTCTTGTATGCTGATTATGTGCCCAGCCCTGACGTGGCAGGGGTTGGGCATGACTGACAGATACATAGATAATATACATTGAAAGGGAAGAGAATTAGTACAGGAATGTACAAAGCATTATGGGAGTTTGGAAACTACTACCCCAGCCTGGGAGTTTGGGAGGAAGGAAAAGGAGCCGTTGGTAAAGATTTATTATAAAAATGGCCCTTGAGTTGACCCTTAAAGGGCAGGGGGAACAGCAAGGAATGGGGAAGAGAAGCAAAGAGGAAGAAAAGAGAAGCAGAGGGGGAAAAGGAAGAGGGAAAAAGAGGAAGTTTTATGCACATTTACTCAAATATTTACAAGTTCAGAAATTCAGTCTTTCATTCTTGACTCCTCCAAGCAGAATTCCTCTTGCCACCCACTCCCTTTAAGCCACCAGTGAATCTGGAACATATTTCAGGTATCACACTGTTCACGTTGCATGGATGTTATGTATTTACATATCTGTGTCCCACATCAGCCTGAGAGAAACTTAAGAACATTTATCTATTTTTATATTTTTAGCACATAAATGTTCATTAATTGAAATAATTAACCAGATAAATTGGTATACTAACTTAATTGAATACCTAGAATGTTTCGGGCATAGATCTTTTAGACTGTATATTTTATAAATGCAAAGATCATGTGTGTCTTTTTCACTATTATATCCCCAGTGACCAGCACAGTGCATGGCACAGAGTAGGCATTCAATATATATTTTTAGTTGAATTATACAAACAATATATTATATTTTATATTATATAAAAAATCAGAGTTCTACATAGGAGCATAACATACAGTACTTGTGATGAATCTAATGAGGGAAACAGGCCACCTAAGTATAATTATATATAATATATAAATATAATACAACTTCATCAAATTATTTACACCTTGTACAATAAAACTTGGTAAGTGTTCTAACCAAGGTGTTTCACTATTTTTCAGTCATTGCAAAAACAGATCTACTTAGGCTTGTTTGGGCAATAAATTAATTTATCACAGCATTTAGGTGGCTCATAGAATATGCCACAGAGCCAGAGAGCCAGACTCTGAAATCTAAACATGTCCAGCCACCCCCAAAGAAGTGGTCTGGCAATTCCACTCTCACCTCTCAGCACTAGGGACTTCACACAGGCAGTGCTGCTACTGCTGCCCCAAGAATCAAAGGTCTGTTTTAATTACTCTTGATGGAAGATCAGCCTTCACCTCACCCCCAGTTATACACATACTGCTCCTTTCTAAAAGAAGAGTTTTATGAAGGCACATCTGACTGGGGGAGCCTGGGTCATTTAACAGCTTCCTAGCTGCAGGGGAAATATGGTTTTACCTCAGAGAGATGGAATTCAAATGGACTAAAAACTTGCCAAACACAGCACACCCCATAGCACAAAAAATTTGGTCTAGGCCCCCAAAAGCATGAAAGACGGTCACTGCCAAAGCACAGAGCAAAAGACTATGAGAACACAGAAGTGACTAACTCTGTATGGCTCAGGGAAGTAAGTCATCAGCCAAGGAAGTGACAGGTTAATCAGCTATGCTAATGAGTAAGAATTTGCCAGATGGAGAAGAGAGGGCTGGCCATCCAGGAAGGGTAAACAACATGGGCCAAGTCCCAGGATTATGAAAGGGCTTGCATTGTTGGTGAGAAATAGTGAGAAGTTAAGTGAGGCTGGAGAGAAGGAGAATGGGGTGGGGCAGAGTGGCAGGAGATGATGATGGTAAAATCAGGTGGGGCCAGATTGCTAAGTGCTTCGTACACCATGCTTTTAAGGAATTACTTTGTAGGCAATAGGGGCTGAGGTTACATTTTTCAGTAGAGGAATGACATAAACAAACTTGTGTTTTATAAGATGCATCCTGAATGGAATGGAATAGGGAGAAACTAGTAGGGTTACCCTACTCTTTGAGGAAGACCCATTAAGAGGTTGCTGTAAGAGGTCAGGTGAGAAAGATGGGAGCCCATACCAAAGCAGGGGGGTGGGAATCGAGAGGAGGGTATGGATATAAAACATATGTAGGAGATGGAGCTATTAGGAATTATGGCAAATGAAGAAGGAGAAGCAATCAAGGATGACTACGAAATTACATTTCCAGGTTAGGTAAATGGATGGAGGTGAAACCATTAGCTAAAAACAGCAAAACAGGGGCAGCCCCGGTGGCTCAGTGGTTTAGCGCTGCCTTCAGCCTAGGATGTGATCCTGGAGACCTCCGATGGAGTCCCACGTTGGGCTCTCTGCGTGGAGCCTGCTTCTCCCTCTGCCGGTGTCTCTGCCTCTCTCTGTGTGTCTCTCATGAATGGATAAATAAATCTTTAAAAATAAAAACAGCAAAACAAGTGAAAAATAAGTTTGGTTTTGAGCATATTGAGGCTAAAGTGTTTAGAGGCTATATAAGCAGAGATTTCTAAGAATCCATTGAAAAATACGGTTCTGGAGGTTCCAGGTCAGAGCTACATGTCATTGAATTGGTGGGAGACCATGCCATGAATTGAATAAGATCACTCAAGGCAAATGTGTAGAATAAGGGTAAAGGTGGAGCAAGGACAAAACTCTGAGTAATGCTAACATTTAAGTAACACTAACTTGAAGAGGTAGGAGGATATCTGGTACAGAGTGTATCCCCTTGGCAAGGTCATGTGATTTCTATCTTTAAGATTTTAATAGATGGATAGAGTGGGGTCCTCTATCTTATAATGCCCCTTGCACTCCCCTCCCTCTATCAGCAATCTGAGGTCCATTTCTAATCTCTCCTCTTCCTCCAAGAGGCCAACTCCTTCTAACCTACAGTGATTTTTTTTTTCTTTCTCTAGCCTTCTATTTCTATCTGAATTTAAGTTAATATTGTGGTAGATTGTAAAAATACCCACAACTCTCCACTCTTTCCATAAAGAAGCAGAGTCTATTTTCTCACTCCATAAACCTGGGTTGGCCAGAAACATTAGCACAAATA